TATACTAAAAGGTTTATATAATTGTATTCTTTATATATTTACTTCAAAGTACACTCATATGTAATATAAAATAGTACTGTATCACATAGCACAATTCAATTTTGAAAAATTAATATTTTATGGTCTAACAACACTTTACAACATAATATTAAGTCGTCCTGATGCTTTTGATAATTCCTCAAGTATTGCATCTATTGAGATTTCAATATCCCGATGAATATTTAGCAATGCGTTTTTTCCATTTAAGTGAGATTCTCCGATGCACCACCTTGGTGGTATTTCATAGATAGATTTTGAAACGATAAATAGTCAAAAAAGTCCTTTCAGGGATGACCGTCATCAATAGTAAATTAACAAGAATAAGTAGAAGTTTTCGTAAAATATGAAATATTTTTTTATCATACACATTAAAAGATGAACGAGCATTTTTAAGATTTTCATTAATTTGGCTTTCATAATTGCATCACAATCTACGCATTTTCCGATACTTTCTTGTTTACTGAAGTTAACAATACTTTTATAATGATGTACTAAATTTACAACGCCAGTCTCAAATTATTGTTTCAATTCTAAATTATTTAGTTTTGATGACAAAAGACATTGGAAACTTGACAACATCTTTGTATAAACTATCAAACGTCTTTAAATTTGTGTATTGTAAAAATCTAAAAATGGAATGAATAATAAAACACAAATATATATTTCATATGAATCTGTTTCAATATTAATTCAGCGTACTTGCCTGCCAACTTTTTGTGGAATCTTAAACATCCCAATCAGAACATATTTTTTGAACAGACTTGAAAATATAATTACATTTTATTTTTCTCTATCATTTCACATTTTAAGTAAAATGTCTTTAATGTTTTTTTGTATGAGTCATCACAGTAAATAAGTCAAGTTGTTTTGTTTGTAATAAATGACTCAAAGGAGAAGTTATACCAAAAATGTTGTCAGTATTCAGGAGGAATATCTAAAATTCAACATTCTAAATTGTGGATAATAGTTGTAACGTTGTAGAACAAGTAGTTGTATTTTTCCACAAAGAAATGGTTTCAAGAGAAATAGTAACAGTATTTTGAAGTTCTAAGAAAATGTAGACTGATTCATGTCGCTATACCAAATTTGTAGGTCATATATTTTTAAGTCTAGTGGTTTTTATATTTGTTTCTTTATTCGTGATTGTACATAAAAGAACTTCTTGTCATTTAAGAGTATTACAAAATTGTATATAATTCCAAGTATACCTATACAGTTCCAAATACTTTGAAAATAACACGTATCAAAAATAGCCAAGTAAACACTATGAGAAGTACAGTGGATATAAATAGCTATATAATTATTTTTTCTGACATGTGCTTGTTCGCCATTAAAACAATCACTCATAGCCGTATTCTCATCATGTCCCTAGCCATAAAATATCATGAAAGAACAATCTATACCAAGATTTATTGGATTGTCTAATCAATTTTGAGTGAGATTTTTCTAACGTTTAGTTAGTTACAGGGATACGTTTCAAAAAATCTTCACGTAATTTCAAATTATTAATTTTTACATATCAAACACATAAACAAAATTGCTCTTTACGTGAAATATCAATTACTTCGTCTGTTCATTTAGAAAATATCCCTACAACATTAACAACATTAATCTTTGAAAAAATATAATTTACCATTATGTTATTAAAACAGTCAATAATTTTATTTGAATTCTGGTACATATATATGTTGTATTAAGTGATGATGTGTAATGATAATCAAAATGGAGATTATGAGAGACAAAAGAAAGATGAACTAGATTGGTTACATAACAAACCAAATATCGGATTGTTCTTAAAAGCGAAACGATTAGAGTAGGCTGATCAAGTCTACCGGGCTGATGAAAGTGTCATACGAAATGTCTTGATCTGAAATTTAACAAAAAAGCGACCAAGGGTAAGACCTCAACAGCAATAGTTAGACAGAGTTAAGAAATATATTTCAGATACTGACGAGACAAAGCGATTGGAGGATGCAATGGATCGGAATGAACGGAGAAGTTTGGTTCAAGCGTGCAAAAGGCCTTAATGATCTATATAGCACTAAAAAAAAGTGATGATATAGACAAATGTTTTAGACAAAATATTATAGTTTCAATCATGGGCAACATTTTGAATGATTATCTTGTATTTGTAGTTTTGAAGCAGAATATAGTAGCAAATCCATTGAAATTTGTTTTTTTTCCAGTAGTAACTAATCTTCCCAGAACACAAAAACAGACAATTTATGATACTCAGTTATTTCATGATTGCGACACATTTTTTCGGCATCATTCCATTTGTTATTATTATCATTATTATTATAATAAAATAATAAGTGAAGCACAAAGTTCTTAGTGTATAATTTAGTGATAATGCTAATATTTAAATTGAATATTGATCAAACTAATCGTTCTCGCACGATTTGTCCGAAAATTTTCTCATACTTATATGGCGAACCCCGTTGTACAAAAGATTTTATTTACGCTGAAACTTTATCACGTTGTACACTTGACGCTTGTACTACATGTCAACACCATCTACTATACGATTAGTTGTTTGTAGTGTATGTAGCACTTTTTTTTTACTCCGCTTCATGGAAAATGTAAAAACAAAGTTTCGCCAGGCCGAAATAGATGGTATGTATTAATGAATAATATACATTTTCAAATTCGTAAATAAAATGTTAAACTATTTGTACCGTGAGTATATAAACGCCTGGTATAGTCGGATTTTGTAGTTTCTCAAGTGGGGGGAGGGCTGTGGAAATGGATCTGGTTATTAACTATATCAAATGTAATATTTCATAATATAAATGATTATATATTATTTACTTATCCTGGGTAAACCCCTTCCCCCCGTCGGCACGTCATATATACGATCCAGTATATTACTAAAATTTTAAAGTCCATCCAGTGGTATATATTTGAAAAAATAAAAATAAAAACACCTGAAACTTCCCAAAATTATATAATGTATCATAACTATACAAGATTATAATAACAAAACTTTTCGAAAAAAAAAATCTACTCTGACATGATGACGAAGGTATATTATCGCATACCGAAAATGATATTGACAAGATAAATAAGATATAATATAATTAGTAATTATATTGTACACTTAACTTGTTCCTGGACAAAGTTTTAGTCTCGGTATACCAATATTATTCAATATATGATTAAAAATGTGAATAATAATTATAGTTGACCATAACAATATTATATTTTTAAAGGTTATTCCTTTGGTTTCTATCAAACAGTTATGTAAATATAATAAGATTAATTTTACCCTAAATTCTGAGTATCTATATTACATACAATTTTTAATTTATTTTTTTAATAGAATAAACTGAGAAAAATTGATTTTATTTAAATTGTACATAACTTATAATTTCACTAATGTCTTAGTAAAATATAATTATTTTCTATCACAAATTAGTGACACCTAAATTATAATTTTAGAATTTGTCTACTTTTTCAATTATTTCAATAACAAATGTTAAAAAAAAAACCTAAAAAATAATCAAACTTTATTTATTAATACTATATTAATATTATTTTATTTAATAAATTATTACTGAAATTATGTACTAACGATTTCTTTTATTAAAATTGTTAATGAAAAAACCACCAAAAGAGTATAAATTATTGTAGACCAACGTCCACGTTGAGAGATTTCAAAATTAATAAAAAGTACTATACGATTAGTCAACGCGACTAAGTGTATTCAATAAGCTTTTTTATTTTTTTATTATTGCAATGATAATACAAAAAATGATTGTTATAATATATGTTCATTCTATTAAAATCAATAAGCGAGTTAATAATTTACTGGTATATGAAGTAGTTATATACGTTCTTCTTCACATGGAATCAACAATAAAATGAATCATCTCTCTCCGATTTTTAGAATAGACAAAAAAAAATAAAAACAGTTTTTAATTTACACAAAAAGCCATTCGAAACGTCATTAATTTTTTATTATAACACGAATAAACTAGCAACAGGAAATCAAAGTGTTCTTATTGTTACACATTGTCCTATACGTATGAGATTTTTATGAATATAATTGTTCATTTTTCATAAAAAAAACTGCAAGACGCGTACAAAATGTAGTACAAAGATAATTTGTAGATAATTATCACTAAGATAATAAGATAATTATCACTATTTCTTCGTACCTTGCGATGTTTCGATTTGTTTATTTTAAGATCACTTTTGTAACATTGCTGATAATCTGAATTTTATAATACAACATTTATTTTTGATGAAACGAAAAACATCCACATATACGTATTGTACTTAACGAAATTTTAGTACGCACAAGCCCATGTCTTTCTGTGTTACCATCGGTCTAAATAAAAAACTATAATACTCTATTTTTGTCTAATTTATTCTTCTACGTCTGGTACAATATAATACTTTGTACTGTATAGTATAATAATTTACTTTGATTTATGCATTAAAAATATTTTAACCCCATCCTCCCAAAAAAAAAAAAAAATCGATCAGAATTGAGTAGGAGATTAACACGATAAAGGATGTGTGAAAAATGCATTCGAGCGATATAATTTTAAGCTGTCGAAACATAAATACCTGCATCTGATTTTGCCGTCGTTTCAGGTCGACCAATTTTCGTTCGTATCTGTGAACATTTCAACTATAACGTTAATATTACTGTCTCATCGTTGGAGACAACACGTCAATAATAACCGACAAGAGCCAGATCACCGTATACCGGATAATGAACATTGACCAACGGTTTTTTACCGTCGTTATTTCAGTTATTATTTAATTATTGGTAATACAATGATTTATACCACGCGGTGACCAAGATGACGGCGACGACGACGCTGTTATACCCTTCGCAGCGGCGACGAATGGTGCACGCGCCGCCGCCGCCGGAGTCTCCGCGCGCGCCGAGCGTGCACGACGACCACTCCGCGTTCGGCCGATCAGATCGGGTAGTCATCTGGCGACCGGCGTCCGACGCGCGTTGCATTTGTCTGCGGTCCGTCAGTGCGGTGCTGTTCCATTCATCGTCGTCGTGCGTACGGGATATTTCTTATTTATTTATTTAATTTTTTTTTTTTCTGTGCAACATAAACAATTAATATAAACGATTTACGTTGTAACGCCGTGAACTGTTATGCGTTTAACGTTGTAGATCAGCGATACGACTTTGGTCGCCGTTTTCGGGTTTCCCGTTTTGTCTTTTTTTTTTTTTTTTTCCATTTTTCTCGCCGATTGGCCATCGTGTTGGTTCCGGAAAAATACGAAGAAAACAACCGTCGGTCGAGCACCTCCGCCCCGCCGTCACGCGTTCCGATGCGTTTCGGATAGAACACAACAGCAGTCGGTTGGACGCGCGCCGGCCGACCAGTTCCACGAAATATCAGCTCGTGTGCCGAATGCAATATATTATAATGCACATTTGAACACGCCATTACTAACATTGATATGACCTGACCCGGGCACGGTCATCGGGTCGCAAGTCTTAACGAGTGTTGTTATTTTTTATCTCCGCTTCCGCGAAAACGGTTTTTTTTTTTGCGATTTTCTCCCCGTCAATACAATAACACACAGGATGCAGACCCGAGCCGCAATCTGCGCCCTCGGATGTCTGCTGGTCGCGGTCAGCGCTTCCGTGGACAGCGGCAGCGGCAGCGGCGGAACTCCCAACAAGGCAGCCGCGACCGCCATCGATGACGAAACAGGTAAGAATATCCGTCTGATTCGCTTATAATGATACGATATCAAACATCAACGTTTTGTGATCATAATTCGAGTTCTCGTAATTTGTCGTGCACCTATGACCACGATTTTAGAAAATATAGCCCCTCTTTTTTTTTCTATAATAATGATAATAATAAAATTATTACAAATATGTTTAACAACTGTAATATGAATTACTGTATCTTACCATTTACGTCACTTCAGATACAATGTGTAGGTATTTATGAACACATAATATATTATACTTCCAACTTAATCGCTTGTACATTTTACACGTAAGTTCCGCAAAAATTTAGATTTACACAGATTTCGATTTCCGTATTGGTTTCGTTTTTTATGGCATCAATTTACTCGTCATCGACATATATTTTATTATTATTATGCATCTCGCTGTCCGTTGAACACGGTTATTAGTGATTATTTATTTTTTGGTCAGTGCATGTTTTCATCAAAATATTTAAATGGCAATTGGCGATTACGCAGTGTTAGCGAGTACCATATTAAATCCAATCATGTCGTTTAATTACGATCCATTTTACACATTAGTTTTCACAATTCACATATCATGCCAAAACGTACATTCCAGGCGCAGTCTAGTGTAAAGTATTAACGAAAATGAGTGATTTTTTTTTGTTCTTATACCTTGCCTGTCTGAAATGACATAAACCATATTATAATAACTTTATTGTTCGTTAACATTATAATGAATATTCTCGCTCACTGCGTGCGAATTCGTACAAATTGTACGAAATATATTTTTTGTCGTTTTGATTAAATACTATTTCCGAGAAATGAGATATTAGCTGTAAAATTAAAGTTTATGATGGAAAACTATAAAGTTTGTAAAAATACGATTTGTTGGCTAAAGTCAAAATACTATTTATTTCAAAAAAGGCGTAATTTGAGAATTTCAGCCTATTTCATTATTTTGTACATTACTCGAAATTCGACGACAAGGTGTTGGTCTTAATGTTTAAAGTTTTTCGTATCAAGCAGTGTAAGACTGGTGGAATTTCTACCAAAGAAATAGCTCGACTTCTGATTACTTTTTAAAATCACCAGCTGGCTGAACATTTATAATTAAGGTTTAATTTTTCACATACATCGGATGGCTGATACCATTTAAAAATGAGTCTTAGGTGTTTATTATTATTGAAAATATCATTAAGATTAAAAAGCTAAAAATTATCATCGACATAAAATAAAAAATAACAATATTAAATCCGGAGTAAGAAAGACTTAAATTATAACAGATATATAAAGTGTAATTATATTTTTTTTATGAATATTCTGAATTCGGTTCTGGGGAATAACAAATGTACCATTTAAAAAATGTATTTAAAACAATTCCCGTTTAATAAATTATGTGGTCTAGGGTGCATTGATATCGATTCAATAACTTAAAAATTATAAATACAGTGTACATCAAATTTTAAACGAAAATAATAATACATTAAGAAATATCTTAAGTAAGGGTGGCTATTGCATATCTTTTAATTATAACTTATACATTTATATTATTTTATCTCACGGGTGAGAAACTTTCTATTGATGTGGTCCACCCTGAGGTTCAAAATATGTTTACATAGTATTTTATACCTCTATTTAAAAGTTTTTGAAAAATGTTGATTCATTCTCCATTTGACTTATAACCGACAAAATACAAAATGTTTAATGTTGAAACTTTGTTGGAAAATATAGGTATAAAAGTCACAACATATATAATAACTATTATAGTATGTAAAAAATGACATGTATAATATGACGTTGTATGTATTTTATCTGTTACGAATTTAATATTTAATATTATAGTAAAATTTATTTGAAATCTACTTATAAAGTTTGGACATCAGAATATTTTTTCATTCAATATGATGATTTTACAGCAGGAAGAAATAAAACTATTTAGTTTGAAAAATTGTGCGTTTTCTCATATTATTCTTAAGTTTCTTTAAAAGTTTTGAATAATTCATTACATTTGATGTAAATAGTCATATCTAAGATTTATATCAAAACCAGTATTAAGACTTATTTTAAATTATTGTAAAATCGATTATTTATAAATCAAAATTATTTTTCAAACATATTTTATGTAATCATATATTAGCTCAAGATTATTTTAATCTATTTATAAATATAGAATTTTTATAGAATTTTTTATCCAGGGCTATATGTTATCTTAAATATAAAGTATAATAACAATAAAAATAAAGCTAAAAGTCAAAATATACTTAATTATAAAATGTAACACAATATAAATATCTATATTAAAAATTATTATTTTATTTTTATATTTGATTAATCAAACTCGTACGACTGGTATCTTATTCAATCATTATTTGCGAGAAAATATACTAGTTAATACTTTATATTCAATATTAGTGTTTATAAAATAATTTTTTAGAAGAAGTAAAGAATGGCAATTAATTTTTTTTCAATAAATTTATTTTATAAAACGGCGAAATGGATATGCAATTTAGTACCTTAAATGTAAATATGCATAATTACTATTACATATTCAGGTGTTCTATAATTTATTATATGATATCTTATTTGTATTATAATTGTTACGTTTTCATTATTCAATTAAACAAAGTTGAATATCAAAATATTGGGTTCAATAATATTTATAAGTTACACTTTATTTATGTATGTTTTATGTATAAGATATCAAAAGAACTATATTAAATAATAGACTGTATAATTAGGTTGTATCGTTTAATTGTACATTCCATTACAATCTTATCACAAAGTAATGTAATTCTAATCTAGTACTAAGTACTAATTTAATAATGCATGTTTGTCTTTTTCAAAAATTATATTTTGTTGAATTACTTTATATTTTAATAGAAAGTAAAGATCAATGATTTTTTTTACACTTCTTTGCTTAATTTTTTTATTTTAATAACTATATTAAATAGTTTCATGCAATTTCCGTTTAAATACTTTAAAGCCTATAAGTATGAATATTACTATTTATTAAAACTTTTAAAAATTACTTTTGTGTATAAATTTAAAATCATTAATAATTGAATTTGAGGTATAGACCGTTCAATTACATTTTAATTGATCTGTTTTAATATGTGTTATATTTTACCAAACATTTGAATTGGTTGGAATATTCCTTTGAATTGATCCATGTCATATTGTAATGCGAGATCCTAAAAGAAATACAAATATCAGTGAAGTAAAACTTTATTCACTCAAGACATAGCTCATAGTATACTGTATTTTTTGGACTATATTAGTTAACAGTATATATGATAGTTTGATCACAGTCAATTTTCTTATCAATGCAAGTGTTTTTTCATTAGAAATACCAAATAGTAAGGAATTTCCACTGAGTTAAACATATTAAATTTAATTATAAATATTTGACTGCGTGTAATAGATACATATATAAGATAAGAATTTCAGTATTAATTTTTTATACCAAGACATTTCTTTTAATACGTCTTTTGTCTTTTTTTTTTTTTTTTTTAGAATCCAATAAATGATGATTTCGTAACAAGATTTATACTTACGAAATCAACATTTATTGGATTATACTTAGATGGTATACTCACACTTTTTTATAATAAAAAAATATGTTTCTGTTTTATAAAAGACCATTTTATGTTCTAAACAGTCATTTTAATGAACTCCAAAAATATCTTTGATTGCTGAACACGAGTACCATAGTATTGATTGTTCTCATACACATTTTTCTTTTCGTATATAAATGGATGAGTTGAAGATGTTTTTTTTCTAAAAATATTATTGATTATTGTAATCCGATTGCTTTTTCTATTATTATAATATGATATCTCGTGACTTTTGAGGATCGAAACCCCTTTTGATAGATCCTATAATAAATAGACATAGTTACAGTATGATTTATTTTATCAAAAAAATCTATTAACTTGTTGATATTTAGTATTTTTAAGCAATTACTTTATAATATTTTTATTCTTACTTATATATAAATATAATTTGTATGACATATTATAAAGATATTGGCAGTGTCAATCTCGAAATCTAATTTTAAAAATTAAGGGTTTTCAGATTGTTTTATTATAAATTATTGTTTCTGCTTCTTCTTTTAAGCTGTGTGATATGAAACATATTCATTTTTTTCCAATATTAATAATGTAATATTCTTTGTTCTTCAGATTTTCATTTACCGACGTAACTATTAATATTTTCTAAAATATTGTTTTAAATTTATAAGGACTTCTATATTTTTTGATAGCTCATTAAAAATAATCAATTTTCAAAGACAAATATTAACAGTATCTAATAACTAATAGTTATTAACTGTATAATTTTAATAAAACAATAAATAAAAAATTTAAGATACTTATGTAACACAATCTTAAATGAATAATTTTTAAAGTTACAAAAACGTATGGTATCTGTATAATATTGACAAAGAATCTATCAGACACACAAAATATGTATAAATACATTCATATCGGTCAAACTTAGCTGAACTCGTTCACTATAAATCCAAAGTCCCATAAGGCCCTTATAGCAAACAATTTACTTAAGGTTTTTTTGCAAAGCTCAGAGATCTTATCGTCGTGTGTTTTAAAATAAAATAAGACCAAAAGAGAGAAAAAATAGAATAATAAAATGCAAAAAGCATGTTTGTCGAATGGTCCTTTTTTCGACTTATTTGTATACTTAAAGAAGGTCTCATTTATCCCAATGGACTATTTTTCCTGTTCAAATTCTTCTCGGTAAATGTGTGTAGCCCAATATTTAATTGTGTCGAACTATTTTTGTCATGACCTATCTCTAAAAATAAGGAATATTAATCGAAATTTAAATTCTAATTAGTACCAACACATTTTTTAATTTAAGATTCTATTTATACTATATTTATGTTGTTCATAGTTCTTCGTTCTTATTTTTAAAGCTTTTACTTCTACATTTTTATCAGAACAAAATAATTATATTTTTTGAATACATTATTGTAGATGCATACTAGATGCATTAC